ATATGAATTCATAACCCTCATAGACTTTGCATGCCATTCGACAACGATTGTAGTCATATATGGCTGCGCGGTACGTATACTTGTCTCTTAATCATTGGTTCACATGTTCTAATCTCATTTCTATCATTTCAGATTCATCGACATGTCGATATGCTAACAGTTCGTTGACCTACAGTAGGGTAAAGATCATGGATAGAGAATATCGATGATGACTCAGATCAAACCTGAGACGAACTGAAATAATTTTTTGCAATAATTTTTAATAAATTTTTTAATAAATTGTATGAAACGCGTCCCCTGTGAAACATTCGAAGCGTTCAGACGCATTTTTATTTCAAAACACGTTCACAGGACGAACATTACAGTGGCCGTAAACGGCCGTAAACAGCCGTAACCGTCAGAGTTACGACCGTATACGGGCCGTAAATGACCCGTTTGGTATGCCCCGTATTACGGCCGTAACCCACCGCGACGTAAACGGTGAAACCCACCTACCGTAAACGGCGAAACCCAACTACCGAAAACGTTAAAAACAGTGCCGTGACACGGTCGTATTTTGAACAAAACGACAGTTTACGACAACGAGAATCGCCGTATCTTAACATATACAGCCGTTTACGACCGCCACGACTACCGTACATCAAAGTAAACGGTCGTTTTCCATTCGTTATTCTCGATGATTTCACCTGCAAATCAATCAGATTTCATTCGGATTTCAAAAATATTTCATTTGGATTTGAAATGGATTTCATTCAGATTTCAAAAAGATTTCATTTGGATTTGAAATGGATTCCGTTTAGATTTCAAAAAGATTTCAGCTGGATTTCAAAAAGATTTTACTTGGATTTGAAATGGATTTCATTCAGATTTCAAAAAGATTTCAAAAAGATTTCGTTTAGATTTGAAAAGGATTTCGTTTAGATTTCAAAAAGATCTCAAAAACGATTTCACTTGGATTTGAGAAAGATTACATTTCTGGGTCAAAAACACATTACCTTTCGACTTGAAAATCAAGCGGTTTCTGAGAGAGTGGGAATTCGCTCGAACATAAGTAGGGATTAAAGGAAAAACCAGAAAACAAACTGAATCGTGGACATGTTACTTCGCCTGAATCGGGAAAGTGGTGAAACGAAGATTCGACGACAAGAACTCGAAGATAAATCTGATTTCGCATTTAAAGTCTATCACTGAACTCAATAACTAAAGGGAAGAAAAATCTGCCTATTTATAGAAGTTTCGGAGCGAAACAAAAAGGTGAATGATTGCGCGACACGAAATCAAAGATAAATCTGATTTCCGATTTCGGATTTTAAATCTAATCGGGAATTGAATAACTAAAAACGATTATAAATCTTGAGGGCTGTGTTTGTTGATGTGGGAGTCCGAATGTGGGTTAACGGAAAATAGCGGTTTGACCCAGATCCACCCACATCCACACCCTCAAGATTTTCAATGGCGCCAAAAAGTTACCCAAATGGCTAGAAATCATGAGAAATCAGTAGAAATAATTAGAAAGCGTCAAAAATCATCTGGATTTTGTGGGAATCGACAGAAAGTGTTAGAAATCAAAGAAATCATGTGAAATCAGGCTAATTTACTTTAAAATTTTCAGATGATTTGAAATGATTTCGAATGATTTTTAGTGTTTTCAAATGATCCGTTCTGATTTCTGATGATTTCCAATGATTTCCATGATTTCGATGATTTCGTTGGATTTCATGCGATTTTGATTGATTTCGCCTACTGAAATCAGTTTGTTTCCCCTTGTTATCACATATTCTGAATGTCGTTTACAGTCACCGTATTTTCACGGTAGTTGTAAAAGTCGAGCGTTTACGTTCACTGTTTACGATTAACGTAATACCTCGTAAAACTTCGTATATGACCGTCGTCTACAGTCGCCGTATTTTCAGGGTAGTCGTAAAAGTCGAGCGTCTATGGTCATTGTTTACGATTAACGTAATACGCCGTAAAACGTCGTATATGACTGCCGTAAACGGCCACTGTAAACGAATGCCGTTTTTCAACGTAAATGATTGGTGTACGGCCGTTTACGGCAGGGCAGGAACGACCTGGGTTTACCCTTGATTTTGCAAAAAACCGCGTCTGAACGAGATTTTACCTTCAGCCGCGTCAAAACGCTTCGTTTGTTTCACTGGAGACGCATTTAGACGCGTTCGCTTCTGTACGTTTCGCACGCAAATGGAACGCGTTTCAGGCGCGTTTCGAGGCAAAAAATATTTACATGCTTTGCGCTACGATCTAAGTGTCTATGTTCTTGCTTCATTTTCGAAGAAGAACAAACATACAATCATTCCGAAACATCACGTGACTATTGATGCTATTGATGAACATAACGGAACGCTTAAATCATCCGGTTTTATTCAATCAGTCCGTATTATTGCTGAAGGTAATTTTTTAAACATTTTTCTAATTAATAGTAGTTACTTTTTTTCTCTATCAAAGGCACTCAGGCTAAATGCCAAGAAAGAGCTACTCAATATAGTCGAAGTACCGGAAGCGAAGAAGTCGAGATACAACCAATAAACCAAGACGAAGATAATGATGTTGATAATAACCATATGTATACAAGCAAGAGTTTTCATGATAAGGATGACAATGATTATCTACCACCAACGACAGGTATGTCAAAACCTCTTTCTCACATGCTAAAACATATATCATTTTTAGATTTTATTTCAACTAACAATGGCACGAAACTAACATTAGATTTCAGTTTAGCTAGTAGATACAAACATAATCGAAATTCTGGAAAACATGTTATATCTGACGACGACGACGAAATTGAAGAGGAGGAAACTATTCATGTAACACGAGGTCGTTCAAATACAGATTGTCCAAAAAACACAGGTTTGTTTGAATACTGAAGTTTTTATTAACATGCCCTAGTTAAATCGTCACAGTTATTATCACTATTTCGTCTTATTAAATCATTCCCTTTTTTCTCATCATTTAGATGATTCACCAGCTGCACCATTAGTCATCGATGAACATTCAAGTAACGATCACAACACCCAAGAAAATCGTGCAAGTAGGTTTTTGCGGCTAACTTAATCATATATTTATTTGTATCTAGATGTTTTGTCTAATGTCAATGGAAACCTTTATGATATATCTGAACGTGATGATGATGATGATGATAATGACGATGATCTAGTGCTGCCACAAGTAAAACCAATGAAAAAGAAAAGAAAAACAGCTGTAAGAATTTTACATATTTAATCATTTTTCTTTCTGATTTATTTTGTATTTTAGTCACGGCCAAAACAATCAACCTCAAATGAAGCTCTTGTTACTGAAGTTTCAAATATTCACAAGGAATTCTTATCATTTCGATACAACATCGAACAACGCATCAAATCACTTGAAAAAACATTTCGTATACTTAAAAATAGAAAGGTTTTGAAAGAGGTAAGTTAGTTTTATTTGTTGTATTCTAATTTTTTTATGCTGATTTAGAGAAACGATCTCATGAATATTGATGATTCTCCTCTTCCCTTGAAAGCACCAGATCTAGAAGTAGGTAAACAATAAGTGACTAACTAATTGCGACTATATTTGTTTAGGTTGTACTTGGAATTGATGTTAGTAAATTTCGTTTCGGTTTCGATGAACATACAAAGTTCGTGCGACAAATCTTTCGACAAGCACAATACGCATTTGATCCAAATTTAGTGTTGTCCAACGATGGTTATAGAAATTCAGAGTACGTATCTAAGGATTTGACGAACAACATGTTAACAAGCGTTTCTCTTTATAGATGCGATGAAAAAGCACGATAAGCGACTAAAAAGTGATGAGGCATATTTTAAAGACACTTGGCAGATCGTTAAAGAATCACTTCGACAACTTAAGCACGATCACAAACGAAATAGTGAATATAAAACATTCCGAGTCTCACAAAATATTAACCAAAGCTAGTCTCCGTTAAAAGCTATTGATATTAATGCTCGAATAAATCAGGCCATCCGACCAAATGGTGAAAACAATATTTATGTTGCCTGAAATGAATTTTTTATTACATTTTATGTGCTTTTTTATTGTATCTTACGTATAACAAACTACTAAATTTCTAATAAACGCTCAATTAAAATACTATATGCTGTTTAATATGCACCCCTAAAAAGCCTGTATCGACAATTTACATCACACGTTCTGAATGGTAAGGATGCTGCTACTATTTTATTCTGGTTAATTATTTCAACGATGCTCATTGTTACAATCTTCGTGCATCAGCGCATGATTTACTTGAAATGCACGCATGGCTCATGCAAGCGTCCAAGCGCATGTCTATGGAAAGAACCTCCTGCGCTATGGGCAAATCTTGAGGTCTGCGCAGGTCAAGCGCATGAAAAGAAAACTTCGACTAGGGTATCTATCGAATTAGCGTCTTTACATCAATAAAACGATGCATTAAAATCATTTTAATACTGGTCGTTCTTCCTTTTTTGGTTAATATATCTTTAACACTCATTTTTTTTTTCGAACAGAGAAGAGCTTTTCTCAGTAATTTACACGATACCATCCGAGAACATCCATAGGATATCAGTGAACTCAAAATAAATATAGTTTCAACTTTCCGCAAGTCGATCTTCATCGTGATCCATAATGGTAACAGGTAGATATAGCGTATTGATGTATGAGATAAATCTTCACATTGAAGAAAATAATTATTAATACTCACTATTGCAGCCTTTAAAATGAGAAAAATATTTTTTCAAACGAGTTCTACTGAACATGTAAACCATATCGTAATTTCAATACACAACAACGAATACTAGAAAAATGTATTTGCAAGTCGTACTCCTAATGGATGTTGATATTTGCAGATAAAAGAAAAAAGAAAAAAAAAGAAAACATGTCAAATTTTGATTCTAAGGAAAGAGTCGTTTAGTGGATATGAATTCCACTTGCTAGAAGACAAACAATAACTAGGTTTCTTCACAAAGAGTAATGTGTATGCTCAATGTCATCCTTGATGAATATCCTGGTTAGCTAACAAATGAGTGAGGAAAAAATAATTTCAACAATGCCACTTCGTGTATTATATTATTCTTTGCAACTTTCGTTCGTCTCTCGCATATTGTTTATTTTTTCGTTCTAGTCAGAAAAAAATGCGAGTTATTTTTGATTATGAAAATAAATTATTTTTGTTGAAGTAGACGGAGATAAAAAAAGCGAAGTTTTTATAAAAACAAAATAATATGTATCTACCAATCCATCATGAGACAAATTTCATTTAAAAACTCATGTGAACTCTGCCGCTGATTAAGTATTGAACTTTTCTTTATTGCAATAATCATAATGGAGTAATGTATCACAGAAAGATGTATCGAGAGAGTAGGTGTTGAATTCTATTTATGATCATTACTTTTTCCATGATCTGAATGGCTGGAATTCACATTATCATTGAAAATAAAATTGATAATGACTTTTTATTTATATCAAATATATAAATAATAAATCTAAAAATGAAAAGAACTTTTTCGATTAATTCAAAAAAATAATAATTCAATTATGTGTCATACGAATTATCAATCGCTGAATATATATATGTTCATCACAAAACTACCGAGAAAAATCACTTGCTCACCAAGTACGTTGAGAAAACATCTTCACATATGCTTGTATTAAATTAAGAAATAACCTATATCGTAACGAAAAAAACATCATGATTACATTTTATTTCTAATACGTAAATAAGAATATTACCAGAGTTTTGGTTCATTTTTTTAAAATGTAACTATGAAAAATAAAAAAAACACTAATGGGATTTTATTATTGATACCATCGTTTTCTTTTCTTTTTTCATTCTTTTTTGAACAGTAAATGAGAATAATTAAACAAAGAAATTGATCAAGATCTGGTTGTCTTTGCTTTGTGTGTTAATATCTCGTGTGTAATAAAACGATAAATTGAAACATATACATGCATTCCAGTGGATTCATTTCTTGATTCTTTATTACGACAATTACTTTTCTAGTATTGTCATTTTTGCAGCTAAAAAGAAATTTATTTTAATTTTTATAATTTCGATGGACTCCAAACAAAGCTTGCTGGATAATACGTCTATAAGAAACACTTATTTCAACTGAATCTTTTCTTTGAAAAAATTCTCCATCTGATTCTCAACAAACGAATCCAACAGAATAAAATAGGAAAACTTCATTGTAGCAATTGTATAAAAGAAGAGTTATCTAACGAAAGAAAACATTTTTCTTTTTATTTAAGAAAAAATTTTACATGAGAAGAAAGTTTCATTTTGAAAATTCTTAAATATATAAATAAAATAGATCTTCACCAAGTTGAAACATCAATCACGCATTAATACTCCAGTAAAGTTTTAGTCTTTACTTTTATGGGATGCGTGCTCATTTCTCTAGAGAATCAAATGTTGAATATTTTGAAAACAAAATTCAGTTCAAAATCCTCTACGAGTAATCAGTCTACCTGAAAGAGCAAATTTCGTCTTTGACTAGAAAAATATCTGTATATCTGTACTAAATCGATCTGTGTTAGTTCATCGTTTTCATTATTGAAAAGTTCTTCTTCTCTCGATCATCCCTAACTCTCTCTGTGCTGTTTACTATAAAAACCTTATGTCAGCTTGACCAAATACCATTATCGGTTTTTTTTATCGTTGCTTTACAGATAAAACGACTTTTGTCGAAATCAATTTGTATCGCTATTTCATCTTATTCTCAATTCTTGAGAAAATTTGACTCGTACTTTGTATCGGATTTTGTATTCGAGTGAAACTTAAATACCGTCTAGTATGAATTGGGATCAAATACTTGCAAATAATTATGAAAGTGGAGAAATCAAAGAAACAAGGATAAGTGATACATAGAACATGTGTTGCAATAATGCTCATTATTGAAATGATGGAAGAAAATATCTCAATCAATAAAATGATCTCGAATGACTTCTAGATCCAAAAACCCAATGAGAAAACTCATAAATCTTACTACCATTACTTTCTTTAATAATACTTGACTCTTTTCATTCGATAATTGATATTTTTTCGCCCAGATTTCGATAGATTACATTATTAGAAGAAAACCAATCGCGGAAAATGACATCGCGTAGTTACAGGTATTGTAGTTAAACGTGTTTGACTTCATGTAATCTTCATACCATATTCAGTTCGAAAGAACTAACACTAGTCAATGAAATAAGTACGAGTAATCGAACTTAACAAAACAAAAAATAATGAAATAAATAAGAAATAGATGTAACAAAAATAAAACAAAATGCTATTTTAGACATAGCTTTTTCGAATTCACATTATTCATGGATTTAACAACACATAGAATAATGAATACGATTCTTATTGTATTGATCATGTCGACAAATTGAAAATTACTTGCTAGAAAACACACGTATCTTATAACCGAACAGGGGATATGATATTCACATAAAATTCCTCTTAAAATGACGAGAAGTTCCTACATATAATCTTCATGAAACGACTCTTTATTTTTCATTGTAAACAATGATATATTTTTAACCTTTTACTGGTTTCATCGCATTATGATATCTCAGTGTCGGGAAGCAATTCACTCCAAACAGGATATATGTATCAACCGGTATGTCCTTGAATAAATATATTCCACTTGTTAAGTGTTACTCTGACAGGTCGATGTTATCATCAACCTGCACAATAGCAAAACTAAAACACATCTAACAAAGAAGTTCTATAGTTTTTTGTTTCCAAGATGATTGACTATGACGAATAAAACTGGACGTTCCCTAAAGCGAAATTTAATATATACAAAATTTGTACTCCAATTAATTTAATTCTAATTGAAATTCCATCCTCATCATTTTAAGCGCCTCCAATTTTTTTTCAGCATATTCTTCATCACTATTGATTTCCGTTATATCATGCTCATTATTTGCAGAATTATTATTGTTATTATTGATGATGCAGAGATTCATTTTATACGAATTCGAAAAGTTACAGATGTTTTTGTTTGTTGACTCATTAGAAATATTCTCTTATTGTCAACGATTCAACCCTATGTGACTATATTCAAGACGACTTTTTTACCAGAAGGCATAAACCATTCTAAACTTTAGTTATTTCTTTCTTGTTCTTACTATCTAAAATAAAACTTATGGCAACTTCCTTTGGTGCCCACAGGCCTTTCTCTATCCATTCTATTCATTAAGTTAATGACGTTACTGCCATCTTTAACAGTTCTATTGAATCTGAGAGACCATTGATCGGGCGGCTTTCGTTGATGAAACGTGTAAAGACAAGCGGGGTGTCGCGCTCTGGATCTCCATATGATAAATTGCTTATTACAACTTACCAAAAGGTAATGGTCTTCGCTGATAACATACATGTTGCGATGACGAAATCGTGCGGATTGTTGGAAACAATGGTCTGCCAGAGCAACGCTTTTTAATAAATAAAATGAAAAGTTTGCCTACTGCCGTGTTGATTCTGCAGTTTTCAATCATAAGTTGTTTCATTTTCTTTTGGCGTATCTATTCACGATCGTCTCGACTAGAGCTACTGCCATTATAGCGAAACACATAATTCTCTATTAAAAAAATATTGCGTGTGCTACTCAACGAAAAGTGATATTCGGAAAAAATTAATATGAATTTGAGAGTATACATAATAAGATCGTTCTGATTGTGAAAGATAACATAAGCAACCTATCTTTCGTTTTTATTCTGCACTAGTTGTTTAGTTAGTGAATTGATATTACTGACGACTGCTGTAACATGGTATTCGAATACATGTTATTAAGTGCTATATACCGATGGTGCATTTTAATTTTTTTTGTTGACAGATGTTGCTCTGGCAGGTCGATATTGCCATCAACCCGCTCAATTTCGTCATCGCAACCTGTATTTGATCAGTAAAGATCTTTTACCTCTTGGTAAATTGTAATAAGCAACTTTATTCGTGGAGGTCCAGAGCACGAAATTATTTTTGTCTCTACTCTTTCCGTACAGAACAAAGGAGAATGTAAGCGAGCGATGTGTCAGAACGAGAAGAATATCGTGTCCTACAGGCCAGCGACGTAAATTGCTTATCACAACTTACCAAGAGGTAAATCATCTTCACTGATTTTTCTTCTTGTGGTGATTGGTGATTGTAATCTATCGAAATTTTATAACATTCGTTCCTTATATCAAAAACAAAAAAAAAGAAGAATTGTAAAGCGTGTTTATCGTACGTGTGGTTATTATCATTGTGTGTTATCGTTTGTATTCGATCAAACTATTCGTCGGTGCGCACGTATTGTTCTCGCCTAGAAGTTAGTCGGTATCAAAGTTAATATTATACAATGCCGGTACACGAGCTCTTACGTGAAGCCGTGCTACTTACGCTTATTCGTGGAAGTGAACGTATTGATAGAACAGCGATTATAACTGCTCTTGGACAAATTACTACCATCTCGGATATTGATTCTTTAGGAAATCTCGGTGATATATCAGAATGGTACGTAATTTTTAAAACGAAAACTGCTCGTGAAGATGTTCTCAAGGTTCCTGAATTGAAGATTAATGATCAAATATTTTTAATTAGTGAACCTTATAAACATGTTAAAGTTGTTCGACTATTAAATTTACCTACATCAGTACCTGATGATGATATTCGTACAATCGCGTCCAATTGGGGTGGTAGCGTTCTAAGCGTCGATGCTGAAAGATTACCTCGTCCTTTCGAAGCAATCAAATCGTTCGTACGTCGCGTTCGTATACGGTTCTCATCTCGCCAAGATGAGGAAAAAGTTCCAATCTCATTTCGATTCGGTGGATTTAATGTCTCAGTACAGTTGGAAGGTCGTCAAAAGGTATGTTACCGGTGCAAACAAGCCGGGCATATCAAAGCTGAATGTACGGTATTGAAGTGTCAAAAGTGATATGAAACAGGTCATGATGATCCAGGCTGTCGGCAGAAACGATCCTATGCTACAGCAGTTGTTTCTACACCATTGGATGTAGGTCATACAGCACCACTAATTAATCAATTAGATGTTGCCCGAGACGTAACAACATGTGCTCCAATGGTTAATTCGTCACTAATATTGTCGAAACGATTACCATATTGCCGGAAGTGCAAACAACAAGGACACAAGAAACAGGATTGTCCACGACGTACAATCCTGTCAAATAAGGTGATGATTAATGATGATAATGAACAGATAAATGAAGGGGGAGATATGAATCAGCACACTCCAACAGTTAATACAACTGGGTCGAGTGATATTGATGCAAAATTTCCCGTGGTAACGCGAGTCGATTTACATTATGAAAGTCCACATTTAATGGCAGGTGACGAAGAACGTGAAGTGATTGCACCGGTACTCACGCGTGATGTAGCACTAAACGAATTCAATCAAACCGCTGATGTAAACTATTTTCAATCGATGCCAGGTGGAAACGTGGAACAAATTTCCCGTGTTTCTGCTCTTCAACATCAAGTATTAATTGATGCATTTAAGAACGCAGATAAAGAACTTAAACGTACAAATGCTGATCGAAGCATCGACTCGGATGTTGATATGGAGCGTAAGAAATCACATATATGTAATTCATCAACCTCAACTTCAGGTGAAACTGAAGGTGGAGAAGCGGTTGAGAATTAAAACGAAAACAAAAAGAAAAAAAAACAAGTTAAAATTAAAGAAGTTGTCCGAATTAAAAATTCCATCTTATTGATTAAATTATGCTCAGAATTATATCTTATAATATTAGGGGAATAACAACATGCAAAAAACAACAATTGCTCAAAATATGGTTAAACCAAAATCCACATGACATTGTTATGCTCCAAGAAACACATATGACAAAATTTTTCCATCTTGAAAATTTTAAAAATTCGTTCCTTGATTATAATATTAGGGGGGCTTTGGGGACATGAGTTGCTGGGGGTGTTTTAATTATGATTAAAAAAAAATTTAATATGATTGATTATGGATCAGATACTAATGGTAGAATAGTTTATATTAAAATTGAATGTAATCATGTCCCAATAGTATTAGTCAATGTTTATGCTCCCGCTCAAATAACAGAACGATGTTCGTTTTTTAAAGAATTATTTTTATATATTCCTTCTACCAAATGGATTATCATCGGAGGGGATTTTAATTGTACTCCGAACAATCAACAAGATAGAAACAAAGTAGGTGCACAAACAGATAATCTATCATATCGCATATTAATTAAAGAGGTGATCAATCCATTATTGTTAACTGAAATATTTAGACGTAAACAACCTAGGAAAATTATTTATTCATATCACGCAAGTGCAGGTAATTATCATAGTCGTATTGATCTGGTATTTGGTTCTGATATTATATACAAAAATACACATGATATTGGGTATGTTCCAGTGGGCATATCAGACCATGACGCATTAGTTTTATCTATTAATATACCACCATTAACCGATAAAAATATGCATCGTAGATGGATATGTAATCCTAATGTAATTAAAAGGAAATCCTTTTTAGAAAAATTCCAAAAAATATGGAACATTATTATCAACACAGCTGATCTTAATACAACTGAATGGTGGAATGATTTCAAGACAAGCCTAATTATGATTATACAACAAGAAGAAAAAGAACTTAATCGTGAAACACGACGTGAATTAGATGAATTATCTAAAGAATATCGTTTTAGAGCAACTAACCCATCCAATGATGATTTAGCACAATTGGAAATTATTAGAAAAAAAATTCATGATGCATTAACAGAAAAATTCATTAATAGTATTCCAAGTCAAGGTGACCGTGATTTTAAATGTCTTAGTAATTTAGCTAAAGCGAGATTTGCACATGGTAAAGCAAATCAATCTAGAATCGCTTATCTTATTCACCCATCTAAAGGTCGTGTTGAAACAGATAATGAAATGATGGAAATTTGTTGCAACTTCTATCAAGATTTATATAATGTTAAACCAATCGATACATCTTATTGGAGTGAATTATTCGAAGATATAACAACACTCAATCAAAATGATATTGACTTACTTGATCGTGATATAACAACTGGTGAATGTCTTGAAGCTCTTAAAGCTATGCAATTAGGTCGAGTTCCAGGTGATGATGGTTTAACGATTGAACTATGGAGATTTATTTTTCCAATAATAGGAGGTCATTTTATCAAGATGGTTAATATAGCTAAAGATAAAGGTAATTTTCACGATGGATTTCTTAATGGTCTTCTTACTCTATTAAAGAAAGGAAGTGAATTTAAAGGAACGATGAAGAGTTTTCGACCGCTCTCACTAATGAATATCGACTATAAAATTATAACCAAAGTATTAAGTTCAAGACTAAAGAAGGTTATGAACAAAATCATACATTACAATCAAACATCAGGCATTCCCGGAAGAACTATACATGATAATATACATTTAATACGTACAATCATAGATTATCATTCAAGAAACCGTATACCTTTAGGAATTACAATGTGGGATCAAGAAAAAGCTTTTGACAGAGTGAACCATCTTTATTTATTCGAAGTGTTAAGGCGGTTTGGATTTGGTAATAATTTCATCCATATGATTAAGTTGTTATACACCAATTCCACATTTACAATTAAATTTAACAATCTCCTGAGTGAAAAACTATTCTTTAATTCAGGAATTAGACAAGGTTGCTCACTTTCTGGTTATCTTTATGTTTTGTGTTTAGAACCGCTGTTAAATTTAATAAGAAAGAACTCCAAGATACCCGGTGTTTTAGTTCCAGGTTGTCAATATAGATCTCTTGTTAACACAATTCTTCAAAACGATGAAACAAATATTGAAATTAAAACATTAGCATATGCTGATGATGTATGCACATTTGTTTTAAATACAAATGATGAATTAGAAACTTATGAAATGTTTAAAAAATATAGTCATGCGTCAGGCGGTAAAACAAATGATACAAAAACAGTTATATTTTGGATAAGTGACTGTCTCGATCCTCCATCTTTTAATGCGAAAATTGAAAGAGAGAAATGTACTTTCCTGGGAATACCAATGGATACTCAAGGTCAGTTACCACAAGAAGAAATTGATAAAATGGTTAATAACATCAAGAGAGATATAGGACTATGGTCCTCAATAAGACTGTCCTTATGTGAAAGAGCAAGCATTCTGAGATGCTTTATAATTAGCAGATTGGTTTATTGGTTTTCATCAATGTTAATTAATAAAAATGTAATTAAATCGATCCAAAAAATTTGTAACTCCTTTTTTTGGGGAAGAATACATCCTTTTATAAAATTCCAAACTTGTGTTGGAAGAAAAGAGGATGGTGGGTTTGGTCTTATACATTTAGAATCTATGATCATTTCTTATAGAATTAAATGTGGCTTAACAATTACAAATACAACACCGAAAATATGGAAATTGTTTGCATTACCGTATGTAGGTTTACACTTATATAAATATGCACCTTGGCTATGGACAAATCTAATCCCACATTTACACGATGATAAGCAATTTTTTAGTGATGTAGCAATACATACTGCTAAATGGTTAAAACGTGGTAGTAATGTAATTAATAATGGAAATGATATTTCAATCTATTGGAAGCTTATCAATTTAAATATTTACCAACCTCCAGTATGTTACGAAAGGATCAACCACTTGAAAAATATTCAATTTTACAAGTTGATACATCATAGTAAATTACCATCCAACATCATAGAATTCTGGACATCATTAGCTAATTATGGAATAAATACACATGATAGACTTGGTAAAACATTGGAAGAGAAGAAATGTTTATTCTGCTCATTACCAGAAACATTATCACATATTTTCATTACTTGCTCTTTTTTTAACGAGATTTACAAATTTTTATTTGAATACATTAAAAATACGTTTAATGTATCAATTCCAAGAAGTGAATATGAAATCATTTATCTTAAAATTGTCTCATCAACAACATCGAGGATTTTTCAAAAACAAATTACATACTCGATTGGTAATTACCTATATGCAATTTGGTCATATAGATGTATCATTAACAATCGAAATCAAAAAGATCATCCTGGTAAATATCAAGATAGGTTTATGATATATATGAAAAATTTTCCTTTTGAAAATGGTTAATTGTTAGCGTCTTTGGATGGTACTTTATGACGCTGACTGTCCAAGCATGTCGTCATCCTTTCTCTTTTTTTCCTATGGGTGTTTCGTTTGATTATACATATGCATGTATACATATTTCTCTCTGTCCTAGGTGTGGTTCGATAGATTATATATATATATATATATATCGTGCCCTGTTTTATTTCTCTCTGGATATTATTTTGACCTTGATTTACATCAATAAAAAAAATTGAGGATATGTATGAAAAAAAAATCGACGGATCTGATACATGTTGCGATGAGGAAATCGTGCGGGTTGATGGTAACATCGATCTGCCAGAGCAACAGTTTCTTTATAATTGTATTGAATAATCAGTAATGTACGTGTAATGCTGTGACGAACAACTCAACTACAGATATTCACTGATGTATGAAATTAACAGACTTAATGTCTCGTTCATAACAATAAACGGTGGTGTGATTTTCTCACGCCATGGCGTTTTATGATCACCACAAAAAGAAGGACGACATTACAACAAAATATATGACTTGAGAGGGTGGGTATCAATGAAAAATACAATCCACAGGCACACCCACACAAGAATGCGTGCTATTGGAATTGAAGATTTTGTTGACCATTCAATAATAATGGCAAGGATATATTCAGGTTGTAGATCAAGATAGTCAATGAGTTGATTCAGCTAAATGATGAAATAAAAATTTCGTGTGTTAATTCAAGTATACATATCTGTGCATGAATTATTGGATGATGAGATTGTAATGTTTAAATAACCGATATTTCACTGGAATAAATTCTCGTAATAGCTGTTTGAAACGATACGGCAAACGAGTCAAAGTTACTTGTTATATATAATGCCAGACTGAAAGAAAATAGTATGTTGTATATTCAAATCTTTTAATGCATTCATAAGCATGATTTTATTACTATCAGTTGAAAGAATGACTACACGTGGTTTCTTATAAACATGTATTATTTGTAGTCCTATTGTAGCAAGTAAACCTAATTCAGTGGATCCTAAACGAACGTTCTTTTGTAAAACAAGTTCACCCATCTAAATATCATCACCAATACCTCTAAACAGAACATAGGCCTACTGAAGATAGTTTACCAAATCCAAGTTAAACACATACCTAATATATCTTGACTCAATGAACATTCAGGAATAATACACATACTCTTCTCGTATCGGATAATTTAGCACCGATATTAATCACTACACATTGATCTTCCACAAGTGGTGTATTAGTCTGAATTAAAAGAGTTCGAAGTCGAAAAAAACAATTCAATATTTTCTCCTGCAACATATATAACTTGGTGTGCCGATATTGATGGCACGCTTCGATGATTCTCCTTCCTTCTCTTTCTGTTCTCTTTCCATTGTTCTAATATCTCTCTCTCCTGTCTCTCTTCTATCTCTCTCCTATATATACGTGCGTTATGTATGAAGTTGTGACACTCTGGAGATGTCAGATGACACAATACACCATTATGCCGACGGGCATAGGCGACACTCTCTAGTTTTGTCGTTACACTCTGGATAACTTGAAGTAGGCTAATAAACATTTTTGCCAAGAGTGGCACAAGCTACTCTAATCAAGTTGTTCGTTACAATCGGTTCCTGTCGAAATCGATGATCGGGACTTTCAGGAAATGATCGGATCCGATCATAGACAAACGCCGGAACAGAGAGACTTCCTGCGACATTCCACCGGATTCCGTCGGACTCCTATGCAGCTCAACCAAGATTCATCTGGATTATATAGAGATCTCTTCTCGCAAACATCCATTTGATTATCAATGCATCCACAACAGATTTTCCCGGATTATAAAAGCATCCACTATCAGGTTTTCCGGATTACAAAGTCATTCTCATTAAGATTATGTGGATTAAATAAAAATCCATATTATGATTTTGAGGATTACAGACAGAATCATCCACATCAGGATTATCTCGATTGAAAAATAATCCACATCACGATTAGGTACTGCACGCCAATCATCTAGGAACATTCCTAGATACTGACTTCGATCACCTGGCATCCTCCCTTGGAGCCTCACTTCAAACACCTAGCATCCTCCCTAGGAACCTCACTTCAAACACATAGGATCATTCCTAGGTACAACACGAAAATCATCCAGGATCAATCCTAGACACAACACACCAATCAACTAGGATCTTTCCTAGATACCACACACCAATCAAC